GGGAGGGAGGGCAGAGTAAGGGCCCGACAGACTTGGATTTGATAAACAATACGCAAGCTATGAGCTTGCCCTTGGTCCGGATCTAATGTCCCGATAAGCGGACGGCAGGTAGAAAGGACCGCACTTAGTCCAGGTTCTAGAGAACGCGTTCACAACGGTAACGAGCACCGCACCAAGAAGATGTCGCCTCTCTCCCTGCTTGCTCCCGTTCATTCCTTTACCTCTTACTCTACCTCCAGCTGCACTCCTGGCAAAGCTCTGCCAACGCCTGCGCCGCAGGAGGACAACAAAAGGAAAATACCTGAGTCTCAGGAATCACGCCGGCGACAGGAGGAGGAGGAGCCGTGAACTTCTGGAGCCCCGGCAGAAGCTTCACTTGCCTCTGGTCAAACCCCAACTCTTACGGGTGGGGCGGGGAACTTCCGCCCCGAGCGAGGGGAGCGTCACTTCCGTCTAATACGTTCAATCCTCCTCCCCTTTTGGGCCTTAGCGACGTTCGCAACGTGTCTGATTTCCTCTTCCATGAGGCATCTGGCTAGTCAAAACATCTGATGGGGACTACATGTCCCAGCATTCACGACGGTACGTTGATTTCCGGGTCAAGAGTTCAGCGCTGGGTAAATCACCATAGAAACGATCGGTTTGGTCACGTGGTGCCCCTGGTTACGCCTGGTGGTAGCTGTGGGGTCTGGGGCCTTGGCGGGGGCCATTTTGCCAAAGGCTGTCTCCCGGAGCGGCCTGGCAGCTGGTTAGAGTTGGTGTTTTTCGTCCTCTGCAGCTTGAGGCCTGGAGAGGAACAGGAAGACTGGGCTCCATCGAGCCCTTCGGAGACGGCAATGGTTTCCTCCAACCATCGCCATCTGACTACCCTCCATGGCGGCTGCGCCCTCCGCGCTGTTCCTGCTGCCACCCCTTCCAGCCCTCTGTGCCTATCGCCTCCAGAGCCGCAGTCTTCCTTCCGCCCCAGAGACTGATGAAAGTCGAATTGGGGCCACCATGAGAGGAGAGAAAAACTACTGCTGCCGTGGAGCTGCCGGCGACCACAGTTCCTGCCCCCCGACACCTTCTCCTCTGGCCTCGACCCTCTTGATGCCCGCGGATGCCGTGTCTAGCAGCTGGTCTGGGTCTGGAGGTGGTTTGTCAGGGGGAGACGAAGAAGATACTCGGCTCCTACAACTGTTCCGCGCGGCGCCGGATCCTTCCGAGGCCTTCCAGGCTTTGCAAGCTGCTTTGCCGCGGCGGGGTGGTCGACTTGGCTTTCCCCGACGGAAGGAAGTGTTATATCGGGCCCTGGGCCGAGTGCTTGTGGAAGGCGGTAGTGATGAGAAGCGACTCTGCTTGCAACTTCTTTCAGATGTTCTTCGGGGTCAGGGGGAGGCAGGCCAGCTGGAAGAGGCCTTTAGCTTAGCCCTTCTGCCTCAGTTAGTTGTCTCGTTAAGAGAAGAGAATCCAGCCCTGCGGAAAGATGCACTACAGATCCTGCACATATGTCTGAAACGTAGTTCTGGCCAGGTGCTGAGAACGCTTATACAACAAGGACTGGAAAGTACCGATGCCCAGCTTAGAGCTTCCACAGCCCTACTGCTACCTATTTTGCTTACTCCTGAGGATTTGTTGCACGGCCTAGATCTCACCGAGGTGATAATATCCCTAGCCCGAAAGCTAGGCGGTCAGGAGATAGAAGAAGCAGCTGAGACCGCTTTCTCTGCTCTTCAACAAATTGGGGAGCGACTTGGCCAAGAGAGATTTCAATCCTACATCTCTCGCCTGCCGTCTGCCCTGAGGAGACACTACAATCGCCGCTTGGAGTCCCAGTTTGGAAGTCAGGTTCCTTATTATTTGGAACTTGAAGCCTCTGGATTTCCTGAAGATCCCCTTCCCTGTGCAGTGACTCTTTCCAACAGCAATCTTAAATTTGGGATTATTCCTCAGGAACTGCATTCAAGATTGTTAGATCAGGAAGACTATAAAAATAGGACTCAGGCCGTTGAAGAATTAAAGCAGGTGCTGGGAAGATTTAACCCTAGTTCTACACCTCATTCAAGTCTTGTCGGTTTCATTAGCTTGCTGTATAATTTGTTAGATGATTCTAACTTCAAAGTGGTCCATGGCACACTCCAGGTCCTGCATGTACTGGTTATTCGCCTTGGGGAACAGGTACAACAGTTCTTGGGACCAGTTATAGCGGCTTCTGTCAAAGTGCTGGCAGACAACAAGTTGGTGATCAAGCAAGAATACATGAAAATCTTCCTCAAGCTGATGAAGGAAGTGGGTCCTCAACAGGTGCTTTGTTTACTCCTGGAACATCTGAAGCATAAGCATTCCAGAGTGAGAGAGGAGGTGATAAACATTTGCATCTGCTCCCTCCTGACCTATCCCAGTGAGGATTTTGACTTACCCAAGCTGTCTTTTGATCTTGCCCCAGCTCTTGTAGATAGTAAACGCAGGGTACGCCAAGCAGCTTTAGAAGCTTTTGCTGTGTTAGCATCATCAATGGGCTCAGGTAAGACCAGTATCCTTTTCAAAGCTGTGGATACTGTTGAATTGCAAGATAATGGAGATGGAGTGATGAATGCTGTACAAGCCAGATTGGCTAGGAAAACCCTCCCAAGGCTAACAGAACAGGGATTTGTGGAATATGCAATACTCATGCCATCTTCTGCCCAGGGTAGGTCAAGCCATTTAGCACATGGAGCAGATACAGACTGGCTTTTGGCTGGCAACAGAACACAGAGTGCACACTGTCACTGTGGTGACCACACAAGGGATAGCATGCAGATTTATGGATCTTACAGTCCAACTATCTGTACCCGAAGGGTGTTAAGTGCAGGAAAAGGAAAAAATAAATTACCATGGGAAAATGAGCAGCCTGGAATCATGGGAGAAAACCAGACCTCCAATGCCAAGGATATAGAGCAGGTATGCATCTTCTCTAATTTCCTTGAGTTGAAACTAAGAAATAATTTAAAATGAACTATGTTTTTATATGGCCTGTAATCACTTAATGGTGAGGTGGCCTGAGGATTGTTTTGCTTTGTATTTAAATCCAGTTAAATGTTGATGTGGGTATCAATTATAACGGTACAGATCACAAACCAATACCAGTTGCTGTGGATTCTGACTTATGGTGACCCCATGTGTGACAGAGTAGAACTGTGCTCCATAGGGTTTTCAATGGCTGTGATCTTTTGGACGTAGATCACCAGGCCTTTCTTCCAAGGAACCTCTGGGTGGATTCCAACCCAACCTTTTGGTTAGTAGCCATGCACTTAACTGTTTGTGCCACCCAGGGATTCCTTACAGGTCACATAGGACTGTTTAATAGGCTTCCTGCTGGATGGAATTGATTAAATTTGATAGGCTTTCTGCCTGATGGATTTGATTAAATTTGAGGTGCAGTATGTTTTAGACAATACCTGGATTTTGGTTTTGACCTTTCACCTGCTGCATGCCACTTACCTCATTCATACAGCAAACACTGAGTACCTAGTAGGTGCCAGATATCGAGCTAAGTTCTAGGAATAAAGATAAGACGAGTTCCACAGAATTTAGAGGAAAAGATCTATAAACCGACAGCTACAAATTTGTTAAGTGCTAAAATAGAAGTATAAACAGAATTCTGTGGGATAGAACAACTAAAAAGTCAAAAGAACCTTCAGAGAAAAGTGTGACATTTGAACTGAGATTTTTTCCCCCCAAAGTTTTTGTTTTGAAAAGTACTAATCTACGGATAAGTTTAAAGATTAGTACAGTGAGTACCCATATACTTCACCTATACTTAACCACTTGTGAACAACTTGCTGTATCTGCCAAATCGTTTGAGAATAAGTTGTAGATATCTTGACATTTCACCCCTAAGTATTTTTACATGCATCTCCAAAAAATAAGAACGTTTCTCCTTTATCACCACGATATCATTATCACACCACAGAAAATCAATAGTAATTCAGTAATATCTAATACATAGCCTGCAATTAAATTTCTGCATTTGTCTCATACATGCGTTTTGTAGTTTTTCTTTTAGTTATTTTATCTAGAACAATACCCCACCCATCTGCTTGCTTGTTTGTTTTTTCATGACATTGACTTTTTGAAGAGTCTGGGTAGTTTTGTAGACGGTCCTGTGTTCTTACTTTTTCAGATTGTTTCCTTAAGATTAGATTCAGGGTAACATTTTTGGCAAGAACATTACATAGGGGATGTTGTGGACTTCACATTACATCATATCACAAGGCATGTAATATCAGGTTGTGCCAATATTGGTGATGCTAAATTTTGTCATTTGGTTAAGGTAGTGATAGCCATCTCTCTCCGTTGTAAAGGTATATTTCTTCTGTTATAATCAGCAAATAATCTGTAGGGTGATACTTTGAAACCTTATCAATACCCCAACAACCTTTAACCTACTGTTCTTAGCATCCGATAAGAATCCTTGCCTCTATCATTTATTACATTCTAATCCAAAAACCAAACCCACTGCCATCGAGTCAATTCTGACTCATAGCGACCCTATAGGACAGAGTAGAACTGTCCCATGGGGTTTCCAAGGCTCTAAATCTTTATGGAAGCAGACTGCCACATCTTTTTCCCGCAGAGTGGCTGGTGGCTTCAAACCGCAAACCTTTTTGCAGTCAAGCACTTGAGCCACTGTACCACTATGGCCCCTTATTTATTACATTAGGGGTTACAAAAGGGTGATTTAAAAAAAAAAAAAAGCTAACGTTTCTTCTGTATTGGTTAATTGACATTCTTTTTATTCTATATGTAATAATTAAGCTCATCAATATTCTATTCAGTGCTAAAATTGTCCCAGATTTGACCAGTGGCTGGCTCCTGTGCGCTTTTGACATGACTCTATTAGTCTTTGAGTGCTTTCTTAAATTAAATGTAGCATGATGCCCAGGCTTACCTTTTACTTTTCTTGCTCCAGACCTGGAATCAACTATTTCTTCAAGGAATCCTACAACTGGTACCCTGTTTAGTAAAACCCAAAACCATCGATTTGATTGCCATTGAGTTGGCATCGAGTTGATTCCAACTCATAGCGACCCTGTGTGTTACAGTAGAACCGCTCCGTAGGGTTTTCTTGGCTTTACGGAAGCAGATCGCCAGACCTTTCTTTCACAATGCTATTGGGTGGGTTCCAACCGCCAACCTTTAGGTTTGTAGATAAGCACAAACCATTTGCGCCATCCAGGAATTCTCCCTGTTAGTAGAGTCTGGTATTTAAAAACAAAAGTCTGGGTATATAGACGTGCTCATTGCTGCTGTTTGCCATCGCGTGTTGGCCCTTTCAGTGGACAGAGGCAGAAGTACTTTTTTTCTTTTAATTCATACTGACACCTCCAATTCAAATCCAGTACTACAGGGGTCTTCCTCTTCCTTTATTCCATATTTGTATCTTTCTTCTGCACAGTAAAACCCTGATTCCCAGCATCAAATTTACTCATATACTGTATCCTACAAAACACAAAAAATAACTACGACACCAATAACACAAGTATCTACCAAATAACGTTCAAGATTTCTTTATTATTCTTTTTGTGCTTAGAATTATCCCACAGAATTCTAAGTTCAAACTTGTCTTGAATTAATTCTTTTCTCTGGGTGATGATTGTTCGGTGTTTTGAAAGATGAAAAGGGATATGCTAAGCATGGATGTTGTCGTTACTGTTCAGGTGCCCTCAGATTGGTTCCAACTCATAGGGACCCTATGTACAACAGAACAAAACATTCCCCAGTCCTGTGCCACACTCACAATCGTTATGTTTGAGCCCGTTGTTGCAGCCACTGTGTCAGTCCATCTTGTTGAGGGTCTTTCTCTTTTCGCTGACCCTCCACTTTGCCAAGCGTGATGTCCTTCTCCAGGGACTGATCCCTTCTGATAACGTGTTCAAAGTATGTGAGACGAAATCTCGCCATCCTCGCTTCCAAGGAGCACTCTGGCTGAGTGTGGATGAGTCCTAGTGAATTTCAGATCAAAGGAGTAGTATGTTCAGAGACATTGAATTAGGAAAGAATTAGCAGATTAAGAAGAGAATGGTGAGCTTCCATGGCTGACACAAGGGGTCTAATAACTAGCAGATGACGGTACTGAAGATGTAAGCAGGGGAAAAGTATGGGGATCATTTTTGCAAATTAGGAGTTTGGACTTTTTGCATTAGGTCTCAAGTCTGTACAATGGTGGAAATGAATTTAGTGCTGTCTATGATTCCTTCTATTTCCAAAATTTGAAAATGTTTTGAAATAACTTTAAGTTTTATTTTAAGTAAATTAGGTAAAAAAAAATTGAACAGGTTAAGCTCAGGCTATCATTGTACCAAATATTCCCTGATATATTTATGGGACTTTTGTACCTAAAACATTTTAAATGCCTAAGCTTTCGTTTGATGTATCCTATCAGTTTTGCCTATGGTTATTCTTGTATATTGTTAATATTATCTGGCAGCAAATGATTTTTCCGTAAACATTGATCTCATCACTGCTTGTAATGTGTCAAGTCCAAAATGTCAGTGTATGTATATGATAAGAAGATCCTTGTGCTGGCCAGAGCTTCAAGAATCTGAAAATAAATGCATTTCAGAAATGCCAGTGTTTGTTTCTTTTGAAATATGCCTTAGTGGTTAAAACTTATTCAAGAAATCCAGTTATAAGTATTTGCTCAGACTGTAGAAGAACAACATTGGAAATTATTTTAATGGAGGGTAGGGATTGAATATTTAAATATTTTTATGTGTAAGGATAGCTTGCAGTTTCCCCCCTTTATCCTTTCCCATCTATTTCATGGCCATTCCTGAGTTCTAATAAGAAATAACATTGAAATCATGTATCTTTTCAGATTTTCCAGGAGAGAACGGAGAAAGGAAATTTCTCTCCAGAATAATCGTGTAAAATTCAAACTTAGACCAAATTCCTTGATTACTTTAATACATTTATTTCCTATTTTAAAGTGATATAGTATTGCTCCAAAACAATAACAGAATTAGTCTAAGTTATAAATCTCAGAGCACCTACATTTTATGTGCAAATAAGAGCTGGAACAAATTGTGTGTGTGTATGTGTGTAAAACTTTTCATGAGTTTTTATAGTAGTGGTCTCATACAATATTTGTCCTTTTGTTGTTGCTTATTTCACTCAGCGTAATGCCCTCCAGATTCATCCATGTTGTGTGACATGCTTCACAGATTCATCATTGTTCTTTATTGTTACGTAGTACTCCATTGTGTGTATGTACCATAGTTTATCCATTCATCTGTTGGTGGGCATCTAGGTTGTTTCCATCTTTTTGCTGTTGTGAACAATGCTGCAGTGAACATGAGTGTGCATATGTCTATTCGTGTGATGGCTCTTATTTCTCTAGTATATATTCCTAGGAGTGGGATTGCTGGATCATATGGTATTTCTATTTCTAGCTTTCTAAGGAAGTGCCGTATCATTTTCCAAAATGGTTGTACCATTTTTCATTCCCACCAGCAGTGCATAAGAGTTCTGATCTCCACACAACCTCTCCAACATTTGCTATTTTCTGTTTTTATGATTTATGCCAGTAATGCCGGGGTGAGATGATATTTCATTGTGGTTTTCATTTGCATTTCTCTAATGGCTAGTGATCACAAGCATTTCCTCATATGTCTGTTAGCTGCTTGAATGTCTTCTTTGGTGAAGTACTTGTTCATTTCCTTTGCCCATTCTTTAATTGGATTATTTGTCTTTTTGTTGTAGAGTTTTTGGATTTTCCTGTAGATTTTAGAGATTAGACCTTTGTCAGATTTGTAATAACCAAAATTTTTTTCCCAGTCTGTAGGTTCTCTTTCTACTCTTTTGGTAAAGTCTTTTGATGAGCATAACTGTTTACTTTTTAGAAGACCCAGTTATCTAGTTCATCTTCTGAAGTTTGTGTGTTGTTAGTATGGTTTGTA